GCCGTGTGACAGGCCTGGGTGGTCGTGTGGCAGACGTGGGTGGCCGTGTGACAGGCCTGGGTGGCCGTGTGGCAGACGTGGGTGGCCGTGTGACACTCCTGAGTATCTGCACAATATTTGGAGCCGTGTGCATGAAAGGGAGTGTGCATGGGAAGTCCCTGTGTTGGTGATGCTCTCCAAGGTCACCAGTCCGAGATGAAAGTGGCCAGTGTTGTCCGGTGCTGCTGAGTCTAACTTAGCTGGACCTCATGTCCAACAACCCCCAATCCTGAGCCGGCCGCACAGCCGTCACTATAAATTTGTGTCCACTGCCACAGCCACTGTGTTAATCCATCCCGCTGAGGGTCTACACAGACCCCACTGAGACCTCCATCAGGTCTTCTAACTCACTGTGGCCCCGTGGGACGGGCCAGAACGGGGTTCCAGGTGGACAGCAGGGCTGCAGAGCTCTGTGGAAGCAGACCACCACGTCTTTCCCACACACAGCGGCCGTGGTTTGAACTGGTGACAGTTTTGGTTAGTAACTGAATCCTTCAAACAATGTAGTACTACCAGGGTTCCTTCAAGGGTGGTAGGTGTGTGTTCCATCAGCCAGACAAGACCCTAAAAGTCAACCTGGTATCACCCAGCCCAGTCCAGCTCAGGTCACGGCCACACTGCGTGTAGCAGGAGTCCTGCCTAAGCTGGCCCTGCCATGTCTGAGCCCACAGTTCTGCCACCGTGCCAATTCGTCCCTCTAGGTCCACCCCTTATGGTGACCCTCTCTGCTGTCGAGCAGAACGTCCTTCCCCAGAAACCCGAGTCCAGAACATTCACGCCTGCCCTCATGCCCACCTGGCCCCCGCTCAGGGGACAGGCCAACACAAAAGGGACTTTACAGACAGGGTTGCCCCAGGAGGATGGACAAGCCAAGGCCATGGAACAGTGCCACCCACTGGACTCCTTCATCTGTTGCACATGGACTTGGTGTCAACGTCTGGATCCTAGTCAACCACACTGCACCCTGGCCCAGGATCCCTGGGTTTCAGTTACCTCTGACCAGAACCTCTGCTGGGAGACAGGGTCTGCTGAATCCACTTGACCCTGTCCACCCAGACGCAGGGTCAGAGTGTCCGAAGGATACCAACATGACCACGGCGAACTTGTCGTCACTGCAGGGGACCATGCTCTGGCAGGCGGCCTGGATCTCCCGAACTGTGCCATGGAGGTCAGTGAGGTCACTGGTCAAGGCCCGCTGGTTCACTGCAGGGGAGGGGACAGAGTTTCATGGGGGTACCTGCCAGCACAGGAAGGCAGTGCCACCTTACTCAGCCACCCAACCAACCAGTCACCCAAACACCCAGCCAGCTGGCCACCCAGTCACCTAGCCATCCAGCCACTCTGCCAGCTGGTCAGTCTACCTTTGGCAGCAAGGGGCACAGTGGGCAGGTCCTGAGCAAAGCCCAGCAGTTCAGGGAAATGCTGACTCAGCGATTTGGCAAGGATGTGCAGGAAGGTGGACTTGCCATCCACGGTCTTGGTAGAGTTCAGCTGCAAATAAGGCCCCACAAATGTCCTCCTCAGGGACCCCATCACACAATTACAAAGGGCTGTGGCATCGACAGGACCCTTGACGCTCTCTCCAGTCCCATACTACAAGAATCACTACCAGACCTTCCTCAAAACATCTGCTGGGATGTCCTGGAACTCAGAGGACCCAGAGCAGTGGCCACACTGGTCCAGGTCTTCAAAAGCCCCAGGACCAGGGAGCAGATTTCTCTGTCCACCTGAGCTTGCCTCGGTCAGAGGCCATACCCCAAGATACTGATGCATGGAACCCTGTGAAGGTTTCAGGACCATCTGTGGCCTTAGACATCCTAAACCATTCAAGTCACAAATGAATTTCTTCCTCTAAAAAAAATACTTTCTCACTAGTTTTGTGGAAGGGCTGGCCTGATGATAGGAATGGCCGTGTAGGGCAGGGTGCCGAGAACCTCCCAGGTGGGCTCCCTTCTCCTGCAGCCTCCCCTCCCTGGCCCACACTCCTTTTGTCCAGAGCCTAAAGTTTGGCTTAAAGATCCCCGAAAAAGCTGAAGGGTCAGCAGTTCAAAGCCACTAGCTGTTCCACAGAAGACAGACTTGCTTCTGTAAATATTCCCTAGTGCCATCATGTCTACTCTACCTCAGACGGACACTGCAGGATGGAGTGGAGCCACCCTGCAAGGTTTCCAGGCTGGAAAGCGCTGTGGAAGCAGACTGCCTCTCTTTTTCCCTCAGAGTCACTGCTGGGTTTGATCTTTGGGTTAGCAACTGAGTACTTAACTGCTGCATTACCAGGGCTCCTTGGAAGCATCTTAGCCCACACCAAACCTCTGAGGTTGGGCCAACTCAGCCTTCCTCAGTTTGCAGTCAATCCCACAGAAGCAGACCTCATCCTCCTCCTGCAGAGGCTGCTGGTTCCAGCTGTGTATGTGGTTAGCAGCTGGATGCTTTAACCACCACACCACTGGCCCTCTTTCCATGAAGACTATCGACCCAGGAGCCGTACAGGGAAGTTCCTCTCTGACCCACAGGGTCACTGTGAGTTAGAACCTGGTTGGGGCTTGGCGTGGGGAACCCTTCCACTGCTCCTAACATCTGACATCTCCTCACACCCCAGCTTCTCCGGGGTGGAGGGCCACGTCAGTCTCGACGCTGTCCCGTGCCCTCTGCCACCGCTGCTAACAGCTTCCTGCTGACCACTCCTCACCTCTGTCAGGAAGTTGATCTTGAAGCCTGTCGTCTTGTGGGTCTTGGGTTGGCCATCGTTGAGATAGTTGCCCATGGCTAGCACAAACTGTGGAGAGGAAGGTGGAAGGTCCTGCCCACTCCTCCCAAGGCCGCCCACAACTGCCCACCTCCAGCACACAGCCGGGATGGGGGGAACCCTGACCTCCAGGATCTTGGCGAGCTTCCGGCTGTTCTTGAGCTCCAGGGACGCCTGGCGCAGGCATTCGAGGCTGCCTCGGATCTCCTCTGTCTTCTCCTGCAGGGTGGCCTGGAAGTGGAGGCTGCGAAGGCGGGTCTTGTATTCTGGGACAGATAACATCTGTCAGGAAGGAACGGGCAGGAGTCATGTACCCTAGGAGACCCGTCATCGTTCTGCAGCCCGAGACCCGAGCAAGATTCAAACGGGCTTACTCACTGACTTGGCAATCTACGGTATGCAATTTCACCCTGTTTCTGATGTGTTGGCAGACATGAAATTGTGCACAGCAGAAGGGTGGGCAGGGACACTCATACCTGAACACACCTTGTCTACAGGATTACGAGTACATCAGCAGCCACTAGGGGGTGCCCTCAGCCCAGATACCTGGGACCTAGGTGGGCGCGGCCGCTGAAGGGTAAACCGAGGCTCCGAGGAGCAGAGCCCAGGACGCACCTGCAGCACGAACTGGTCGGGCTCGCTCAGGCGGCCGGGCGCCTCCCGGAAGGCCTGGTAGCGCTGCTCCTCGTCGGCATCGGGTGCGAAGAGCAGCAGCTGCGCCAGGTGCGCGGGCTCCAGGCGGCGGGGCTCCATGCTCATGAGGACCTGGCGCAGCTCCGAGGGGCTCAGCTTCAGGTGCGCCAGGAGGATGGCTGTGGGGCGGGGCCTCATCAGGAGGCGGGGGCAGTGGTGGGTGTGGCTTATCAGGAGGGCGTGGTTTTGCCAGGCATGGTTCGACGGGGTGGGGCCGTAGTGGGTGTGGCTTTACATGGAGGGCGTGGCCTTGACATGGGCGTGGTATCGACGGGCGGGGCCGTGCTGATGGGGCTTGTAAGGAGGGAGGGCGTGTCTTTGTCAGGGGGCGTGGCTTGGCAGGGAGGGGTCGTGGTGACTTTTACATAGAAGGCGTGGCCTCTACCGGGGGCGTGGCCATATAGGGGAGTGGTATTGACAGGTGGGGCGTGGTGGGTGGGGCTTATGTGGAGGGCGGGGCTTCGAGATTGACCTAGAGCACGAGGTGGAGCTTAAGAGAGGGCCAGCAACTGAGGTGGGTCCTGCATGCAGAGGGTCCTGGGGGTCTGAACAAAGATGAGGGCGAGAAGAGGAGGACCCCTGTGTGTGGGATGCAGTGACACTGAAGGACAGGGAGGAGCTGTCTTACAGGGTTTCTGGGGCTGTGATCTCCTCAGATCTTTCTCCTGCAAAGCAGCTAGTGGGCAGGAGGTGCAGGCCCCTGGGGACTCCTCCCAGCACCCCTCCCCACCCCAGCAACCCCTGGCCCCTCACAGGTGTTGTAGGCCTTCTTGTGGGACAGGATCTCCACCACCTCCTTCTTCCTGAACGGCTCGGGCCCTGGCGTCGGCTCTGAAAATCAAGCTGGGGGGCTGAGTGATGAAAAGCTAGGCCAGGACCTGAGTGGCCACAGCCCGGCTGGTCTGCATGGCCTCTAGAGGCGGCTGGGGGACCGACGAGTGGTCAGACCTCCTGACCAGGGTCTTCCCTGAGGCTGCCTCTGATACCCACACTTCCCTCACCCTTCCCCCTCTCCCGGATGGGCAGTCTAGTGGCCCACAGTCAGCTCACACAGCACACATGTCCTTTCCTCCTGGCCCCCTGCCCTCAGCCTGAGCTAACAGAACCACAGAGACAATCACCTCTCAACCTTCCTGATGCTTCTGGTTGGACAAGGACCACCAAAACCCAAACCCAATGACATCAAATTGATTCCAACTCCTAGTGACCCCACAGGGCAGAACGGAATAGCCATGCAGAAGTCCCAAGATCATGACTCTTTATGAAGCAGACTCCTTTTCTTCTCCCTAGGAGCTGCTGGTGGATTTGAACAGCTGGATTTGGTCAGCAGCTCAACAGTTAACCCACCACACTACCAGGGCACCTACTGGGACCAGTCACATACAATATCCCTGGTTGCTGGGAGACCTCCCCAGCAACTGTGGAGAAGACCACTAGACAGAGATGGAGCAAGAGGGAGGCTAGAAGATGTATTTATGGATGCCTCTTGTCCACAGACCCTCAATCTATCTTTCAACACGACAGTGACTTAATGGGTGTGGACATATTAGAGATGAGATTGTGAGAACCGTGCAGAATAAGAGCGGGGTCAGCCCTGCTCTCTACAGAGTCATTATGAGTTCTAGTCAATTTGACAGCACCTAACAACAACAAAAACTCGTCCACATTGTTCTGGCTGTGGGATGTGGAGCGAACTACCTGCTTCCACGTCAGAAGTGAGTGAAAGAGTTCACAGAGCTGTCACAGGGATTAACTGGAAAGGGGAGTACCTGGCATGCATGTGCTACCCCTGCTATAAATGCCAGCCATCGTCACCGTCGCCATCATCACCGTCACCATCATCAACATTCTCACCACTTTGAGGTGGGAAAAGTGAGGCTCAAGGAAGCTCAGTAAGTCACGGATAAGACCCCAACCCCACTGCGTGGAGTCGGCCCACAGCCAGCCCGTACAGCAGGGCTGAAGCATCACGGCCGTAAGGGAAGGTCAGCAACCCGGAGCAAGACCCTCAATGAGGTGGGTCAACACAGTGACTACAACAGCAGGCTGAGGCTTGCTGGGGCTTGAGGATGGCAGAGGGCTGGGCAAGGCTCTGACCCGCGTCCCCAGGGCCACCAGGGTCAGAGCTGACTCAAGGGCGCCTGTGCTCTGAGGGAGCAGACTGCCTTATTCTCCATGGGGCTCTCAGCACCAAATGCTTCAGCCCCTGCACCACCAGAGCTCCATGCGCAGACCTAGGGGGTTCTCGACCCCAGAAGGCAGAGGTGGGCTAGCATCAAGGGCCTGTTACCCAAGTCGCCCATGGGCCACCACAACACTCACTGGCGGGTTTCTGGGTGCCGAAGTGCAGCTCCAGGTCGAGGTACTTCACCATGTCACTCAGCTTGTCATAGTCAGAGTCCTCCCCGAGCTGTAAGGGAGGGCAGGAGACTCAGAGTGAGGAGCAGAGCAGGGGCTACGCTGCCTCCACTGGCCCACCCACTCTTTTAAGGGTTGCCTTGAAAGGGTTACCCTTTTTAAGGGTAAGACAGCCCCTCCTCAGGTCATGGATGAACCTGGAGGGCAAGAGGAGAGAGCCTGCAAGAGAAATCAAGTAATTCCAGTGGTCTCACCTGTGATCAACCACACACGCGCACACATGCATGCGTACACACACACATACATGCACACGGACACTGCTGGGCAGCAGCCAGCAAGCCCAACTGGAGCAGAGGACATGGCTGGAGAGGGCCTGCAGCCATCCAAAGGGGCCTGAGGAGGTGACTAGGGGGCTGCTCCGGACTGAAGTTTGCTTTGTCAGAAACCAATCTACTAGCGCTTCGTGGAGCACGAGGTGGTGCTGAAATGAAGCCGGGAAAGGCCAGGGGCTGGAAGGTGGACGGGCAGCCCGGATAAACAGGCCAAGGGGTCGCCATCGGGAGTGATCATTCTGGATACTGAGGTGTTTCTGACGACGGGGTTCCCCGGCATGGATCTGGACTCAGGCAGATGTATGAACCCTGTGTCCACTTTGAGTGACTGACAGAAGGACAAGACTCAGAGACCCATCAGAGGCTGTGAGGCCTGAGGACTCCAGGGCAGGACTGTTAGAGCTGTCTGTGGCTTTGTTCTGCTTTATCAACTAGATGGACAGCTTCCTTAGAGATACGGACTGGTATGAGCCTGGCTGGGTGGGCAGCAGGCCGACCTGAGAGCCCGCAGCCACAAGAATTCAGGCTGGCTGGTGTGAAGGCAATGACATTGGTTCCAAGGAGGTGGAAGTACTGTGGTTGAGGACAACAGTGGGCACAGGGACTGGGACAGGGCAGCCCCAGAAGCTGAAGGGCTCCCAGGACATATTCAAAGGAGTACAGCATCCAGGTCAAAGGAGGTGAAAAGCCTGTTTTCTCCTCTGCGTTGGCACAGCCTCAGTGAAAGCGGGCCAGGTTCCATTTGGGGCTCTCCCTGTGGCAGGGACATGGACACTAGACTTTGGAGCTAGACGCCAAGCCCTTGGGAATGACCCAAAGAGCAAGTGTGCATGAGGTTGTGGTGGGACCTGGCTCAGCTGAGAGCCTGTCGATGGTCTGTGGATAAGGCCGTACAGTTGCTCCGCCTGACCTCAAGGACCAGGACAGAAAAGGCCTGAGGCAGCTTTCAGAGCAGTCCCAGGAAGGAGGATCACAGCAGGTCCGTGAAAGAAGGGCTCCCCTGCAGGGGGTGAGGTCATCGTCATGGAAAGTATTCAAGCACATATTGGCAGTATTTGAGGGTGATGTTTGTCCTTGAAGAATCTTTGACTCCTCTAAACGAATTAATCATGGTAGTGGGCTGGACAATTTGAGGGCACACAATCCCCAACTAGACGTTTTCCTGTCATCTCTAAGAGTCCATGGGGAGTTGGAGTGTTAGGCTTAGAGGTCAGTGGAGTGGTACTTCCAAGTGTCCCCAAGTGTCACTAGCTCAGGGACACAGACTAGGCACGGCAATTCACAGCCAAAGTCAGGCTGGCCTTCAACGACCAAGAAAAACTACCAAGGGGTGTGTCCACGGGCTCCTCGGATTAAGGATGGGGTGTTGGGGTTGGTGTGGAAGTGGCCCAGGGCTTGAGTCTTGCCTTCAACATGGCTGCCCAGGCCAGCCTCCCCTCGTCACCCACACGGGGGACACTCTCAAAGGACACAGTCCCCTACCTGGCCCCAGATGGTGCCTTCTGAGTTCTCCACCTGCTCCCACCGCAGGCGCTTGACGCTCATGTGGCTGGTCTCGCTGCGGCGGTGGCCCAGGCCGCGGGACAGCATCGGGGGTGCGCAGGGCACAGGTGGGGGTAAGGGCGGTGGAGGTGGCGGGGGGACTGGGTGGCTGAGCGGGGTGAGGGGCTTGGCCAGGGCCGGAGGAGGGCCCCGGGTGCCGTCCTGGGAGCGGGAGCTGGGCTTGGGGTCGTGGAAAGGCAGAGGTGGTGGCGGAGGGGGGCTGAGCGGGGGCGGGGGGATGTGGTCAGAGATGGAGGAGTAGGTCAGCGAGCTGCCCTCCTCGCTGCTGCTGATACACTCGCTGGCGCTGCTCCGTTCGTTGGTCACAAAGCTGCCCTGGTCTTCGTGGAAGCTCATCTGGGTGGGGGGCAGAGTGGGGCCCGGGTGAGCGAAGGGACTGGGGCTGGTAGCAAGCAGTGTGCATGCCTGGGACGGCCTGCCTTCAGGGCCCAGAAAAGGAGAGGGAGAGTGGGGTGCTGGTCCTAGAAAAAGGGGAGGACAGCCTGAGGGGTGCCGGAGAGTCCAGGCCAGCCAGGGATCAAGAATGGGGTGGCCTGACACAAGGTGGACGGGTAGCCTTGGGCAAGGGGTGCATAGTCTGGGGAGGAAAGGAAGAGCCAGGGGTTTGTCCTGGGCCCGGGGACAAATCTCGGGTAGCCTTGGCTAAGGGGTAGGATAGGCTGTGACATGAATGAGGTGCCCCAGGACAGTTGTTGGGGTACCTTAGTGAAAGGAGAGGCCAGCCTGAGAGGGACTGTGGGGCAGGCCAGGGCAGGGAGAAGGAAACAGGGCACAGATCTGAGGACAGTGGCGGTCCTCAGGAGGCCACCCCCTATGGCACCCACCTGCCCCCATACCCACCTCCTCATAGTCATTCTCAGGGGTCAGGAAGTCATCCAGGATGGTGACCCGAGGACCCAGCTGTTCGCTCAGAGCGTCCAGGAAGCGGTCGGTGTCCCGGCTCCGGATGGGACGGGAGAAGGTGAAACGCTTCCTGCGACTGGCAGGGCGGGCAGGCTCTGGGCTTGGGGGGCTGGCGGGGCAGGTGGGTCCAGGGCTTGGCTGCGGGGAGGGCGCCCTGCTGCTGTCCAGGCTGGCGTACGGGTGGGACTCGGAGCTGCTGGGGGAGGCCAGGCCTTCCGAGCACAGTGGGTAGTAGCAGGGGGTGGGCAGCAGCCGCTCGCTGGTCCAGGAGACACTGGACAGGGGCCTGGGCCCTGTGGGGGAGGGACGGGATGGAGTGTGAGGACCCTGCCCAGCCTGGGCTCTGGGTGAGCCTGGAGGGAAGTGGCCTGGGGCTGATGGCAGCTCCTTCCCTTTTGGGCACATCCTGGGACAATCCCAGGTGTCCATGTGTCCTTGGCATGGCAGGGGACAGGGGACATTACTTAGTCCCAGGCTAGTTCATCTGGGAGTGGACTTATGAGTCCCAGCGGTATGGATGGGAAGGGATGGACTGAGGGGACATTCCTGCACCCCAGACTGCAGACCAAGTGCCACAAGGCACATCCAGTGCCCCACAAGCCCTTGCCTTCCCCAACACTCTGAGCCCATAAGAACCTCTCTCAGGGTGTGCCCTGAATTACGAGAAGGCATCCCCCTGTCCTGGAGCCTCTCCCAGGGCCCCCCTGAAAGCTTTCCTCTCTCCTGCTGGCGCCCCTCTGTCCCCCAGTAGTGTCATTCACAGAGCAACACGGTGCTTTTCCATCTACCCAGAAGCCACAGCTGCAAGCTCACTCAGGAATTCTGGGGACAGGATGGTCAAAGAGGCCGAGGAGGGGCCAGGGAGGGGTATGGAGAGGAGTCAGGGAGGGACATGGGGAGGGACATGGAGAGAGCTGGGGACGGACATGGGGAGGGGCGGGGAGAGACATGGAGGCTCCTGTGGGCCCCCTCCCCAGCTCAGTCACTTGGTCAAGGAGTTGAGGGGCCGCTGCAGGGGTCACTGGTGCCTGAGTAGGAGCAGCACCCAGCCAGCTACCTGGGCAGAGGCAGTGCTGTGGGCGGGGCCGGCTGACACCTACCTGCAGAGCCTGTGGTGCTGGACACTGGAGGGGAGGCCCGGGACTTGGACATGGTCCCCCTCGTGCCTTTGAAGCTGCTGTTGAGTCGAGACTCAAGCTCTGCATACACGGCCGACATCTGTGGGGGACAGGGGCAGTCTAGTTCACCTGTCACCCCATGTGGCCTCCAGGACCAGGCTAAGTGGTCTGTGAGGCTGGATACGTCCCCAGCCTGGAGTAGGCCTCCCGGGAGGGTCCTCAGGCCCAGACCTGTCCCACCACCAGTGACCCCATGGAGAAGGTAGAGAAGGAATCTTACCATCTTGGGGTTGGGGGTCTCGGGGAGGGATGTGCCATCTCCTGCCTGCCGCTCGCCTGGCACCAGAGGAAGTGGCATCTCGGGGCAGTCACTGGGACCTGCTGGGACCAGGGCGAGTGGCCAGTGTGGTCCTTCTTGTTCCCACTGCTGAGCTCCTAAGCCTGGGGTCCTCGCAGACCTGGGCGCCCAACCCTCAGCCTCGCCCACCTTATCCCCTGTTGTTAGGTGTTGTCAATTCGAGTTTGACCATAGCGACCCCATGACGAAGGGATGTGAGCCCTGTCCTGTCCTGCGCGGCTCTCACAATCTCTCACACACGAGCCCATTGCCACGGTCACTGTCTCAGTCCATCTGGTGGAGGGTCTTCCTCTCCTTCGCCGTCCCTCCACATTTTCAGGCGTGATGTCCTCCCCAACCACCTGGAGTCCTCATCTCCCCATGCCCATCTTGCAGGTGATATAAGCCCCATCTGCAACCTGCACCCCCTCAGCCTCCTGTCCCCCCAGTCTTACCGCAGCTGAGGCTGGAGTCCAGGCCGGGCGTCCGGAGGCTGCGCCGGCAGATGGAGGCGGCCCGCAGGGAGCTGCGTGGCCGGGGCTCTGGAGTGGGCTCAGGTGTGGGCTCCGGCTCCAGCTCAGGCTCTGGCTCTGTGTGGGACATGCAGGGAGATGGGGAACACGGGAATGAGGAGTACCCCTGTCCTCTCAGCAGACACAGAGGCTCAAAACAAGCAAAAGGAAGGAAGAGGCAGTCAGCTGCCTCTGGGACAGCTCGAGAGGCCCGTGAGACAAGAGACTGGGAGCTGCGACACCTGGGGCTGGCCCAAAGAGAGCCCAGAGTGGGGCGGCCACGTCACACCTACCGGTGCCTCCTCTGACCACAAGGGTCTAGGACCCCAGGCTTCCAGGATCTTAACATGGTCCAGATCAGCTGCTCATGGGTGTGTGTGTGTGTGTGTGAGTGATTTCTCTCTGGGTTTTATTTTTATTATTTTAAGCAAGAGTTGTTACAGAGCAAATGCATTTTCCATGAAACAATTTATACACATTTTGTAATGTAATGTAGGTTGCAAGCCAAAGGTGGGTGACTAATCTGCAGCCCTCAGGCCTGCCTTTACTTGTTTTTGGTGGAACATTCTTCTAGGTGTACAACCCTGGCCTGCCCACTTACTGTACAGCAGTGTGGTTGCTGTGAAGCTGAACACTGTGATACTGATGTGTGAAATGCGGTTCCCATGGCAGACAGTGTTTGGTTAAAACACGCTTGGAAGTAGGAGTGGCATCCACTTCCAAAATAGCTTGCCTCTGGAAACCCTATGAACCTGGAGAAAGGACGAAAGTTATATAGATGTCCAGGGCTTTCGTTCATAGGGTGGCTATGAGTTGTCTCCAACTCAACAACACTTAACAACAACAACAACAATGTTGGTCATAGTCCCTCCAGTGTAACAGCACTCTTCCTGCTCCCTCCCTGAGTTTCCTGTTTCCATTCACCCTCCTCTTCTGCCCCTTCCTGCTTTCTGAGTTCTGTTCTGGGACCAGTGCTGCCCATTTGTTCTCACGTGGTTGACCGTTCCGAGGAGCACTTTCCTCACAGTGTCAGGGTTCACTCTGTGGTTCTGTGTGTTGTCTGGCTGCAGGTGGTCCCCAAGGGTGGGTTCATTTCCAGATCTAAGAACCTCAGTATCAGGGATTCCACTAATGTCTATCAGACCAGTACATTTTGTTCCGTATTTTCCTCCCATACTCTCCTTGGCCTCCCAGTATTCCAGGGGCAACATGAAAGATTCTAGATGTATGGGATTTCTGCTGTGCAGCCTGGACTTGAACATTTTGGCTAAAATACTTGTCTTCCTTCAGCAGCCTGTGGGGCCTTAGTAATGGCAGCTACAGGCACACAAGGACATAATAGGTTTCCAGAGTTTGCCATAGCAGGCCTAGAGCGCCTTGAACAGGATCAGTACATTAACATCACAAAGAAAACCCTACGCCTCAGTGGGATTATACCCACAAGTATAGAAGTGAGGGTTACAACACATATTTCTGGGAGATATCATTCAGCTGTAACATTCTACCCTTTACCCTCACGCCAAATTCATGACCTTCTCATAAACACATCATCCCTACAATTTCAATCGGACTCCAACATCAGCTCGACATTCCAAATCTCAATTTTTAGATGTTATAAATCAAGTCTCACTCTGGGTGGCCATCAAACCAGACTAGAAGAACTGGGTGGTGCCCAGCTACCATTCTGAACATTCAGTTTAAAGATTCTGTAGAAGGGTCCTGATCAAAAGGGGAAAATGTGGAACAGAATTTGAAGTTCTCATGTCAACATCTCCTGACTGAGTCATAGAGGCTGGATAACTCCTTGAGGTAACCTCCGGGAACAGTCTTTAGTCTTTACATGAAAAACATCCCTTGAAGTCTACTTGAAACCAAACAGTAGTTTACATCTCTCTCCATGGGATCAAACTGACAGTAGCAGCTTGAAAGGTTCAATAGGAAGCTCCGGGGTTGATTATACGGAGGAACAACTCAGAAAGGAGAGCAGGTGTGGTTTTGAAGGACGTGATCAAAGCTCCTGAACTAATGAGTCAGTGTGTGCTCTGTTATGTGTATACTCAACAAAAATAAGGGTTGTTTGGGGGGTTTTTTAAAATGAAAAAAAGGATGATTCTGGGTTCATCATTCTTCCGACTCACACAGCCTAAAACGGGAACTGTGTTTTTCACAGGTGCACAGCAGGGCCATATCTCGGGGGCACTGTCTCAGGTGGGCTTGGCGGGGAGGCCAGCGCCTAAGACAGGTGAGGAAACTGAGGTTCTGTGAGCTGGAACACAGCAGTCACGGGTGACCCGGCGTGTGCCAGCTTGTCCCAGGGACAGTGAGACCCCAGCGAGAGAGGTCATACCCATTGAGTGGAGGAGAACAGTGAGACCCCAGGAAGCGAGGGGTCAGGAACTGAAGGTTATGCTGCGTGCAGATCAGGCTAGGCGTGCAGGTGGGCAGGCTGTGCACCTGCGGACACGTCAGCGAGAACAGGTGGCCCCTCGCCTGGGGAGGCTCACCTGTCATCGCTGTGTAGCCCAGAAAGCAGGTGATCTTCTCCTGACACAGCTCCTGCTCCTCGTACGTCAGCAGCTGGTAGATGAACTGCCACAGGATCTGCTTGGCAGGTGTGTCCAGTACGGGGTAGACGTCAACAATGAGGGTGTCGATGTTTCTGGGGGACACAGGGTCAGGTGGCCCATCACTCAGGGGCTCCCTGTGTGTGAGGTGGACAAAGGGACACTTCCAAGCCTCATATTCCCCCCACGCAGGGTCTGGGGACAGGCTGCATGGGTTCAAACCCTAGTTCCATCATCTACCAGGCAAGTGACCTTTACAAGTTGCTTAACTTCTGTGCTTCAGAAGATAAAAAGAACAACTACAGCCTCCCTCAGACAAGGGGCCTTAGTGGCACAGTGGTAACATATCAGACTGCCAACCTAAAGGTTGGCAGTTCAAATCCACCAACAACTCTACAAGTGAGACTCTACAGCAGTGTCCTCCTATAAAGCCCTACAGCCTCGGAGACCAGATGGAAGGTGGCTGACTCAGGCCTGGAGCTTGTCCCCTGCCTCCCACTGTGGCCCTCACACACTCTTCAGGCCTGGAACTGAACCCACTCCAGGGATCACCTCGCATCTAAACAACAGCCAGCCTGCTGAGGTGAACAGTGACACTCATGTGGAATGCGCTCCTCAGAACAATGAACATGTGCTGGAAATCGGACAATAAACAAGGGTGAGGTAAGAACCAGCGCCTCTGCATTGTGGTGTTTGAGGAGGGGATCCCGTGCACCTCCGAGTTACAAACAAGTCTGTCTTGGAGCGAGTGCACCCTGGGTGCTCCTTAAAGGCAAAGATGGAGAAACTTTGTCTCATCTACATCGGACATGTTATCAGGAGGGGCCAGACCTTGGAAAAAGACACCATGCTGGGAAAGACGGAGGGTCAGAGAGAGAGAAGACCCTCAACAAGACGGACTGACGCAGACAGAGACTGTGACACTGGGCTCGAGTGTATCAGAGATTGTGAGGACGGCGCAGGGCAGGGCCAGGCTCAGCTCTGCTGTTCACAGTGGTGCTGTGCGTGGTGGTGTGCATGGTACAGACCCAGCTGCACCTAACAACCACCAGTAACCTGTTAACAAGGACGCTGGTGGGCTAGTGCCTTAAGTGTTGCACTATTATCTCAAAGGTCAGCAGTTTGAATCCACTGGCTCCTCTGAGGGAGAAACTGGGAGGTCTGCCCTTAAAGATTTACGGCCTCAGAAACCCTACAGGGTCCCCATGAGTCAGCACTGACCTGATGACCTGATGGGTCTGGGGTGGGAGTCTGTTAGGTGTGAAATAGCTGATGAAAAAGTGTGAAACGGGAGAATGACTAATGTGGGACCAGAGACAGGAAGCGAGCGCGTGCTGTTGGAAGAAGATGCCAACAGACTTGCTGTACCCAGCTTTGCAGCAAACCTTCGGTCTGTCTAAAGCACCTGTGGGGTGCAGATCATCTGGGCCCAGCGAGACGAGGCCTGCCTGTGCTGGCGCGCCATGTCTAAAGTCAAAGGGGAGTTAAACCCCACTGTGGGACTTGCTGGGTCACCTGGCTGGGAGGTGTCAGAGCTGCAGGAGAGTTTGGTCCTGCTGTGGGTATCAGCTCGTTGTGCCCACTCCCACCCCTGCGAGAAGGGAGCCAGGAGGGGCAGCTGGACGAGATGAGAGCCCAGGAGGTGTCTAGGCCACCATGCGGTCCCCACCCCTTACGGCCTGCCACCTGTGTTGGAAGAAGCTCTCCAGGGCCCGGCAGACGCCATAGCGCTCAGGGGGCGTGAGCAGGTGTTCCAGCTGCTGGCTGAACGTCCGCCCCTGGACTCGGATGCTGGACGGCAGGATCTCCGCCACCCACTGCAGGGAAGTGAGCGCCGAGGATGGGTTGGGGGAGTCCAGAGAGTCGGAGTCTGCGGGGAGCAGAGGTGAGAGGGCACAGGTGAGCAGGCATGTGGGCCAGGCACGGCACCATGCATTGGGAGGTACTCTTGCTGCTCACATGTGGGGACAAGGCAGGTACTGGAAGTGGCTCCTGTGGGGATGCGAGAAGGGAAACTGCAGGTGTGGAGGGACAGCAGCGCCCCCTGCAGGCCTCAGCTCTTCAAGCAGGCACTGACTCACCTCCTCGCTTCCCCAACCTTCCCATCCCAGGGCCTCAGGGTCCTTGCAAATCGGCTGAGTGAGGGGGTCTCACCACTGGCGAACGGGACAAGCCCCTCCTCCACCACCAGCGTGGGCATCGCGCCACTGCCCTGCAGCATGGACACCACCTTGTCGTGGGAACAGTTCCTGCCAAGCAGAGTTGGCCCAGGGGGCCGGCCAGGATGAGCCTGGCCCATGGCCACTGACCAGGCCACACAGCCAGGGTCTGACTGGGCCTGGAGAAGCAGCCAGGGTCTGGGGCCAGCTGGGTTCACTGGGGATAGAAGGAGCTCAGTCTCTGTACCCATAGGTAGGACATGTCCCCGTCAAGGGCAAATCCCAGACAGTCCTCTCAACTGTGTCCCTAGCATGTGCTGGGACCTCACAGGTATTTCCTGTGGCAAAGGATGAGCTGAGGTGCCTAGCTGGGGTAGGGGACAGATTCAGAGTCTTCATAGGAAGAGGGACAGCTCCCAGAAACCAACTGGTTCAAGGACCTAGGGACCATGGCTTAGGTGCCCCAAGTGGCAGGGGTCTTGGGGGAAGACTTATCATCAAGCTTGGTGTCCCCAATGACCTCTGACCTCATGTCCAGCCCATTAAGGAAGAGTATCCGATCTCCTGACTTGAGAGAAGCATTGTCAGCTGGGCTCCCTGGAGAAAAGAGAGGACATGGTGGCGGTCAGCTGGGTGGGGTCCACTCTGAACCTCCGCGTCTCTTCTGGGAGATGTCGTGTTCCTGCTTTACCAGGAACAGAAAAGGGGCAAAAGACAGTCAATTCAACTCAGAGCAGCAGACCCTACACACGTGCCTCTCTGATCTCCACCTCTGGAAGCAGGCAGGGACCCCCTAGGAAGGGCCGGGGCATCACTGGCATGGAGGCCACACAGAGGGGCCTGGACTCTCAGTGCCCAGCTGCTGGAGAGCAGACGAGGAGAGGGTCGGGAGTGGTATCGCCACCCCACCTCCACCTGCATGAAGTCCATGCCACACACCAACCTGACCCCACCTCATCAATCCTCAAGTCCTTGATGAGTTTATCACCCTGAAAACACGGAACCACAGAAGAGTGCCCACAGCAGGGTATCTACAGAAGGATGCCCACAACAAAGTGTCCCCAGCAAGGTGCCCACAGCAGGGCACTCACAGCAGGGCACCTACAGCAGGCTACCCACATTAGGACGCCCAGAGCAGGATACCCCCAGCAGGGAGTTCACAGCGGGGCACCCAAAGAAGGACGGCCATAGCAAGGTGTCCACAGCAGTGCCCATAGTAGGGCACCCACAGAAGGGTGCCCAGAGCAAGGAGTCCATATCAGGGTGCCCACAGCAAGGCAGTCTTCCTGCTCACCCTGGGAGGAAGGTGAGCAGCTAATTCTCACTCTTCACTTGCACAGCCCTGAGGGTCCGACCTCCCACCTGGCTGACATCTGATGAGGGGAGAGTTTTCTGTGTCTCATTCCTCGTGACTGCCCCTAACTTCTGATGACCCCACGCACAATGTTAAAAGGCATGGAGTAGAGAGCACCATCCCCACAAGTCCCTGGGCTGGACTGCTGTGACAGCTGTGTTCTCACTGGCTGATTTTCAGAAATAGATTGTCAGGCCTCTCCTCCTAGTCTGAAAATGCCACACCACAGCAACACACAAGACTCCAGTGGCAGACACGTGGCACATGGGAGGTTGTTGTTATGTGTCATCGAGTCACCTGTGTCTTATAACGACCCTATGTACAACAGCTCTGAACCTTTCTCTATCCTGAGCCAACCTCATTGTCTCTGACACCTATTACCCCAGTCACTGAGTCAATCTGTCTCAGCCAGGGTCTTCCTCTCCTGTGCTGTCCCTCCACCCTCCCAAGCATAATGTACTGGTTGGAAATCGAACCCAGGTCTCTGATTTGGGAAGCAAGACTTCTACCACCAAGCCACCACTGCCTGTGGTGACACCTGGTGTGTGACATGCTCCGAGTCACTGGACGCCTCACGGGACAGTCCTCCTGGATCCACAGGGTTGCGGAAAGTCGAAATCCCCCCATGGCAGAGGCTGGGGGCGACGGCAGAAGCTTAAACGGTGCTCTGGGCCACAGGCCACAGGTTCCTGAGACTGCGCATCCTCCGGGAGCTTTCTCCCTGCCCTGGGCCCTCCCCTCTCTCACCGGGCAGCACAGACTCGATCCAGACAGGCCCGTGGCCGCGCAGAGTGAAGCCAAAGCTCTTGTTGCCCTTGTACACCCGGACTGTCCTACGGAGAAGAAGGGGTGTGGTGAGGGCAGCCTGCTGCTCTGAGGTGGGGCACGAGAAATGGAGGCACTTCTCCGCCCTCCCCCTGGGAAGCCTCCGCGCGGTGCCCTCCGCCCTCCTTCCCGTTGGGCCCAGTACCTGCGTACGCCCCCTGGGCCGGCGCGGCCCCCCAGCAGCGAAGAGGCCTTGCGCGGGGGCGGCTCGTCGGGGCGGCGCGGTGGGGCGCTGGCCCGCGTGGACACCAGCAGGCGCTCGGGCCGCTCCTCGCTGCGGCTCCGGCGCAGCCTCTGCGCGCCCTGCGCCCTCCGCGCGCGGCACAGCTTCCCGAGCAAGCCCTGCGACACCACTTCGTCGAAGCGCGCCCGGTGCTTCTTGGGGATGAAGATCCTGTAGGGGGGACCACAGCATTGGAGTGCGCCCGGAGCCCCGCTGGGAACTGGCTGCCCCAGTGTCCTCTCCAGCGGGGGCCACAGGATGGCCGTGGTGCCTGGATCCCTCCACCTGTTAAAAGTTTCTCATTCTGCAGCCTCCTCAGTGGGGCCTCAGCCCCCCATCAAGCCTGTCCAGGGTCATCCTAAAATTTGCCTCTGGGTCTTTCTGCGGCGCTCCCCACCCCATCCTTAGACCCAGTGCCCCGGCTGGAGTCAGGAGTCCCTTTCTGTGCAGTGGTCCGGCTGTTTAGAGCCACCTGGACCACTGTCCCTGCTCTCTCTGCTGTACTGGGACTTCCTACCACACCGGCTCCCTAGCCCATGCCCTGCGATGGTGGTACAGTAGGTGGAGTACTGGGATGCTAACGTCAAGGCTGGTAGTTCTGACCCATTCGTGGGAGAGAAGCCACGTCCACTGCTGTGGAGGTCATAGCCTTAGGAAGCCCATAGGTTAGCTGTCTCCATCCTACAGGGTCACTGTGAATCAGAATCCAGTCAGTGGCGGGAGTTCGGTTTGGGTCTTCGGGGTGTTGGGGCACCCACCCTATCATCTGTAGCAGGCACTATGGCAGCCAGACATTGGGGTTTAAAACCAGAAGGGCTGTCGTGCCTTTGAAGGATTCACCCAGAAATGGTGAAGGGCAGGTGGAAGGCTGGTACCATCCTCTGTGCATAGACCCCCCCCAAGCTATCACTCTGTCAGAGCTCTCCTTTGAGAAATTTTGGGGTGCTGAGGGTGAGGACCGACCTGCTGGTCCCCAGCTGTGAGCCACAGTGACGTCAGGGGGTAGCATTTTGTTAGGTGTTGTCAGTTGATTTAAATCGGTGACCCCATGTACAGTGGAACCAGCCTGGCTGGTCCTTCCCATGCTCATAACTGCTGCGGTGTTTGAGTCCAGTGGTGTGACCACTCTGTCAATCTCTGCTGACTCTCTCCCAGCATGATGCATCTCCAGGGACCAGTCCCTCCTGATAACATGTCTGAAGTGTGTGGAGGACTTATACTCAGGAGGGACACAGAAGAAAGATGGAGATGGGGCCGGGAGCACCCCTGGGCCAGTACGCAGCTTGCTGGACTCCTCAACCATGGCTCAGAGAGGCCCCTCGTGTCCAGCATGGCATGGTGGCTTTGGTGAAGCTAGGGTCAGAGCGTCAGCCATGTGATCATGAAACCCTGAGTGGGACAGCTGAGTCCTCCTTGGCTGCATCCCAGGGCCCCCTCCTCTGTCCTGTGTACCCAGAAGCTGTGCCATGGGCATGGGGGGAGGACAGAGGGGAAGGGGCAGTAGCCTAGCTGTCAATCAACCTACTGCCATCACGTGAGTTGTGACTCACAGCCCCCCCCCCATAGGAAGGACAGCAGAACGACTCAGGGTCTCTTCACAGAGGCTGACTGCCAGAGTGCTCTCTGGAGGAGAGGCTGGTAGGATCAAACTGCCAACCTTGTGGTTAGCAGCCAAGAGCTTAACCACAGTGCCACCAGGGCTCCTGCAGTGGCCTGAGCCCACTGGAATCTAGCTACCACTGTGTGGTCCCACTGGCCATCAGGGGGCAGGAAGAAGACCAGGCAGGCGGAATGCCGGGAGGATGGGGTGTGACTCCCTGAGGATGGGCAGATGCCCCTACCAGATTCTGCCCGTCACCCCAATGAGTCCTGCTCCACGTTTGGGGGTTGTGGGTCACCAGGGAGCATCCCCGCCTGCACATCCAGCCAGTCAGCAGTGATAGGGCAGATCCAGAGTCAGGCATGTTCCCAGGTGGCGATGCTGGGTCTGGAAGCCAGAACCCCGCATCTGCCCGTCTGGATACTCTCCACTCCTTCCTGAGTGTGGGTTCCAGCTCGCCTCACACTGTCTGGTCCACGTCATACTGTGACCCTGAGAGAACGTCAGCCTGGTCCCTGATTCCAGCCTAGGTCAGAACCAGCTGGTCCTCCCGGTAGTGACCAGGAAAGGGCCTACCTGCAGGGGGACCCAGAGGAGGCCCCAGCTGCATGAATGGGAGATCGCCCTGTTCTGCTTGGCACCTTGGGACTGAGTCACAGATGAGGCTTTGGGCCAGCCAGGTGCCCTTCCTGACGCCTTCAGTGTGGTCCTGCCATCCAGCACGTGTCCCCTGTGATACCCTGACCCAGCAGGACCAGGCACCAGGGTAGCTGACCACTGCCGCTGCTATGCTCACAGGACTATAAAGCCACACAGTCTTCTCAGGGACACACAGTGACCTTCCACACAGGCTCAGGCCCCCTCTCTGTCTCAGTTCCTCTAAGTGTAGCTGGGGCCCTCATTCCATATCCATTCCCTGTGCCCACCAGTTTTGTCCACTTCACCCTTGCTCATGAGCCAACCCTGGGAAGGGAGCAAGATGCCCGGCCGTGGGGGTGGCGTCGGCCAGGGGGAGCGACAGTGGGGACAGAGGTAGCGTCTTCTGAACTCTGGAAGGGTTGCGCCAAATTCTCACCAGCTCCCGGACCCCAGCCTCTGCCACCTGCGCGTCCTGCCCAGCCCCATGCAAGAGGACCAGCTGTTTGTTCCTCCTCTGAAGGCCGCATGCCCAGTCCCCTCCCAGTCGCGGGATCGGTGCCCACCCCAGGCAGGAAAGCCCTTCCGTGGCCCAACCCCACCCCCCCTCAGCCCGGGGGTTCCCGGGGACGCCGACCGCGGGAGAAGCTACCGAAAGTGCCGGGAGAAGCCCTGGTCCTTCCCCATCTGGAGCCGAGACCGCAGAGCGGCAGGTGCTGAAGGACCGACCGACCGGGAGCGGAGCGAGGCGCCGCGACTCCACGCGCCTCTGCCCAACCCCGCCCGCCCTCCGGGTGGCCCCGCCCCGCCGGAGGTGGGGGGAGGCGGGGGACCCTGGGGCACACCCACACCCCTGACTGGAGCGGGCATTCCTTTCCCGGCGTCTTGCTTCCGGCCCCGAGTCCTGGGCCCTCACACCCGCTGCAGAGACCCTGGCGCAGCCTCTCCAGGGCTCCCCGCCGGGGGCTGCTGTGGCGCTCGGGGACGACAAGGACTCAGCCAGGAGTGGCAAAGAAGGAGGCTCCAGCTGAGGGGTGGGGATGCCAAGCAGATAGCAGGGCCGGGAGAGGGGCCCGTGAGCACAGGGGTCAGTGGCTGAGTCCGCGCCTGACAGCAGTGGGCATCCTGGGGTTTCAGGGTGTAAGAGAAGGGGGCGCCTGAGGGACCTCCGACGTAGGGGCCGGAAGGACAAGTGGCTAGATCTGCAAAGGACAGCTGAGCAGGAGGGCAAGGAGGGAGATGGGTGCAGTGGGGTGGGGGCCAGGTGGGAAGACTCCCTCTGAGGTGAGTGGTGAGGTGGGGGACAAGGGAGTAGCGGACCTCTTCAGGAGGAGCATGTCTTACTGGAAAAGACAAGGGAGGAGAGCTAAAGGGGCGTCCCGGGAGAGGGGTCCCGCTCTGCTCTGTCCTGATTTGGTTCCTGACTTCTGGCTGGAGGAGTCTGCAGAGGGATCCCCACCCTGCACCTGCAGCCTGAGGACCCAAGGACAGCAAGTCTCCGGCCCTCTGGGGGTGGGGCTCCATGGGTCACCTCACCGGGCTATCAAAACAAGTCCTCTGGCTTCCTGTCTGGGATCTCACCAGGCAGGTGACTGGTGCTCAGACAGACAGGGAACCAGGGTCTCACCCAGGCAGGCACCACTCCTGGACATTCTCACATCCCAGTGTGCTGGGTCCTGCCTGATGTTCCTGCATCGCCCGGCACAGAGGACTCTGTGGACCTGATCCCCTCAGCACTCCCCACGCACCCCCAGCTCCTGGTGCCAGTGTGAACACCCTCCCCTCGGACAGCAGCAGGACCCCCCAAACAATGGGAGGCTAGTGTCTGGAACCCGCCCAGCGCACACAGCTGCTGGCACAGTCAGGGCTGCAGCCATTCCAGCGCCACCAAGCCATCTCTGGCTGTTGGCACAGCCGCACTGCTCAGCCTCCAGAACTGGGCTGGCCCCCGGGCAGGGAGACTGGCCACTCTGCCAGGGCAGAGGATGTGCCAGCAGGAGCAAACACTCCCTCAGGTCCCCAGATCCAACCAGCACATTGCCGCAGGGGCGGTGCCCACGGGCACTAGAAGGCGCAAGGAGCGGGCAGCTGGGTCAGGCAGCCAGGGGGCCCAAGGCAGCCTAGGGTGGGCGGGAGCGCACACAGGCAGCAGCTGGCCTGACCCCAGGAGAGGGCACTGTGGCAGACAGGCCACTTTGGGGCAGTGCTTCTCCTGGGTGATTGTGTCCCCCAAGGGGCCACTCGGCATTGTCTGGAGGAGTCTTTGGGGTGTAGTGCTTTCCATGTTAGATTGGTAACCAGAAGGTCAGCAGATCTGATCCACGAGTCATTCCAGGGACAAAGACGAGTAGGCCCCTCTCGCAAAGCCTGCCAGCATCGGAAGCCCAGTGGAGGGTTGTCACGGCAGTGGCATGGTGTGTGGGTTGGCGCTATTTTGGAGCAATGCTTAAAGTGCTCAGCGGCTAACCAGAGTCTGTGGTTCAAAGCCAGCGGCTGACTGCATTTAACCGCCACAGGGCAGTCTGCGTCCATAAAGGTGGTCGTTGCTGTGAGTGCTGTGGGTCAGAACTGGCCCATAGCTGACCCTCCAGCAGGTTTTCAGAGGCAGTAAATCACGCAGGAGGAGACTGCCCATCTTTCTCCTGTGGATCAGCTGGCGGATTTGAACCATGGTCGTTTACGATGGCAGTGCAGTTACTTAGCACTAAGCCACAGGATCCCCCTCCATAAAGATGGCAACCATAGCCATCCAGCAAGGCCAGTCTGTCCTAGGTGAGTCAGGATTCGCAGAGAGTGGTGGGGCTTGGGGCTCTGAGAAGCATGCATGTTCTTACTCTAGGGATTCTGAGCAAACCACCACTGTCCAAAAGGTCAGTCATTGCTGTGCAGGCAGACCGACTCGGAGCTGACCCCTCCAGATGGTGTCCAGAGGCTGTAAACCACAGGAAGGAGACTGCCGGAGCCCTCGGTCTCACACATTTCCCCACACATCTGGATCATGGGGGCCTAGGTACTTCCTATCAGGGCAGAAGCGATGGGGCAAAGACCAGGTTGCTTACATCGGATGGAGCTCTGATGTGGTTCCCTGCTGCTGAGAAGACAAAGGAGCGAGCAGCCCCATTTTACAGACTAACTGTAGAGGCCAGGCCCCCTGCTCAAGGTCACACAGCCAGTGGGTGGTCCTGGGGCCCCGACAGACTTCCAAGTCCAGGCTCCTTCCCACGCCTGCTGCTCCCCTCCGCCTTGACTCCCTGAAATCCTCCCACCTGCCTGGATCACAAAGCTGACGTGGCTTTGCGGTCCCTCCTGGCCAAGTCACACTTTCCAAACTGTCTGGCCTGCCCTAATTAGAAAGCCATTTTATCACTTCATCAGACCGGGACCCCTTGGGGGACAGACCCAGATTAGATTTTGCAAAGCAGGACTCACTGCATTTACCAGTGGCTGAGCTCCCAGCTGAGGTGTTCCTTGATCTCCCTCACCCACATTGCACCCCTTGCCCCCAATGCCCTCAAGTGAGCCTTTTGCCACATGGAGGTGCCCACTGAGGCAGCCGCTGGCCACACATGGCCCGGGAGGTGACCTGGGCTTCTCTCCTTAACTTCCTTCTCCTTCACTCAGGGCTTGTTTTAAATAGCCTCAGGTGGTCAGCGACTCCTGTGCTGGACACTGCCACTCTGTGGCTTCGCTGCCCTCCCCCAGGACCACCCCGGGGTCATCCTGTGGTCTGAAGAGAAGAAAGGGTATTTCTGCCTCTCGGTTAAGTCCTGAAATCAGCACCTTTCTCCTCGTATCCTCTACACACACGATTTCTCCTTTAAATCTCTTCTCTCTGAAGCTGAGGGGCCTTGGTGGCACAGTGGTTAAGTGTGTGGCTTAACCAAAGCTCCCAGCTGCTCTGCAGGGGCAACAGGGGCCTTGGGAGCCCTGTGGGCACCCCTGCCCCACCCTGCAGGGCTTCTGTGTTGGGGTTTGGGTTGGAGGGCTGGGGTGGGCAGAGCTGGTGGAAGGGCTGCTGCTCCGTGGGGTGCCCACTGTGCAGGCTGGTTCACAGTGTGGCAGTGTTGGGGACACTGGCTTGTGAGGCGCTGTCCCCTCACAGTGGGGTATCTGTTCTGCTGGATGTCCAACCCAAGGGACTGCCCTTGAGGCATTTCCACCTGGCACGCTGCCTGCGGTCTCCCAGCCGCTGTCTGGTCCACGGCTTCCGAGAAGCCCTCCCTGACTGCTGGGCGGCTGGCACCGAGCCTCCCCACTGCCCTGTCCCCAGCTCAGGACGCAGCCCCTCTTTAGCAGGAGGCTGGCTGAGGCCCGCTGCCAGGGTAACCCCCTCCTCCCAGGAAGCCCAGCTGGGCGCCGCCCCCTCCCAGAGCAGCCTCCCCAATTTTCCTGTCGTACTTGATGCCAAGCCTTCAACAGCCTGCTCAACACCCTCTGTCAGCGCCGCAGGGGCCCCGCGGGGACGCTGCTTCCCCAGGTGTCCAGGGTTCCCGCTCCCAGGCAGGAAACGGGTTGTGATGGGAAGCGGTCCCCCAGGGCCGGTCCTAAGCGCATGGCGGGGCTGCTGGCCACCTGGGGACACACTGTGACCAGGAGAGGCCAGACGGAACCGGCTGTCTTGGAGGCCGACCCGGAATGAGCGCAAGAACCAGCGGGCAGTGGGGGATCCCCAATCTTGGAGCTGGTGGTGTCCCGGACCAGCCCAGTTGGGATGGGGGAGATGTCTGTTGTCACCGCCCCAAGACCCTCAACCCCTAAAGCCGATGGTATCATGGTATCGCGGCCACCATCCCACAGTCGCTCTGAAAAGAACTTTGGGTCTCCGGATCGCCCCAGCCGGGCACTCCCTCACTCACCCCAAGCAGCTCATGGTGGCCTCTCCGCTCCGCTGCAGAGCCCAGCGCCGCGAGCTTGGGGGGCGGGGAGGGTGACCAGTGCGGTCCCTGACATTGGCCAGGCCCAGAGGGAGGGGCAGGCGCGGGGTGAATGGCAGCGAGGGGTGGGGGCGGGCGGAGCGCAGAGCGGAGCCAAGCCCGCCAAGCGCGCGGGTCTGGGGGGGATGCAGGAATGCCAGCACTGGGTGGAGGCTCCCGGGGCCACTTCTGAGGATCCACTGTAAGATGATGATGATGATTATTTTGGTCTGAACACTTACACTGGCTGACCGGTTGCTGCAAGCCCCGCTCCTGCTGGGTGAGTGTTGGGTTATTGTTGAGAACACCCCACTTCAGCCTGTCTGCATGTGCGCCCTGCTGACGCTGATTACAGGGCTCATCGCTCGCCCTCCTCGCGCCCTTCCCCCTCGTCAGCACGCACTCACTGCCCCCCACCCCCAGCTGTCCCCCACCCCCAGCGTCCCAGCTAGTCCTCGCATTTCTGGGGTCACTCGGATCCCATGCAGACCAATCGGAACTGACCCAGAGCTGAGCCTCCACTCGGTTTTCCCAGGAGGACTCTCCTTCATAAGGTCACTAGGAGTCCTCTGCGACTCAATGGCACTTAACAACAACAAAAACAACCCAATGCGGACAGAGAGTGGGGTGGAGCTCCCCGATTAAAACAAGCTTGGAAGGAGGAGTGGCATCCACTTCCATAATAGCTTGTGTCGAGGAAACCCTATGAACCTGGAGAGAGGATGAAAGGCAACCAAGCGTCTCCTTCATAGAGTCGCTATGAGTCGCCTGCAACTCGAAGGTACTTAACAACAACAACAAATCAAAGAAGGAGACGCCCATCCTTCCTGGAGTGGCTGTGGATTTGACCCTCCAACCTTCTAGTTGGCAGCGCAACTCCTTACCTTACCACTAGGCCACCAGAGCTCCATGCAGACAGGTTTCTAAAGAGCTTAATGCTTAATGGAGATCTTTGTTACTAGTTAAGTTAAACTATGGTTTCATCTAAGAAAGGCTGGGGGGGTGGTTATGTTTATGGTCAAAATTATTGCCCTGAGCTAAGGGTTAGAACTGCACTGCCCAGGCTTTCCAGGGCTGACTGTCGGGAACAGAACCAGGAGCCTCTTTGGAGGTGGACTCGACCCCCCAACCTTTCTGTTACCATCTGGGCACATTTACCACTTGAACCATAGTGCAGCCTCTCAGGGACACTGAGACATTGTCACTGTTAGGGACAATACAACCCTTTAAGCGCCCGGCCTGCACCACTCTCACAACTGGCGCTGTGGGAGCCCCTTGGGGGAGCCAGGCGTTAGTGCACCTTCTTTTCTGATCACCCCACCTCCTCAAACACAGGTCTCTCTCCATGGACTAGTCCCTCCTGAGAACATGCCCAAAGGACAGGAGTTGAAGTACTCCCCAAAACAATCACCCCTTATTCTGGGACTCCATGGGTGTTGGGGTAGATCTGGTCCATGCTGCCTTCCTGGCCAAGCATTTCTGAGTAAGACACCCCTGCCTGCCCACGTGCACCAGCCCCCCAACGGAAGTACCTGAGGTTGTCCAGGAGCGGCCCGTGGGCTTCCCGGGGCAGCGCCAGGGTGAGCGCCCAGACCAGGTCATCCACTCTCTGCTCCGCTGCGAACTGCTTCAGGGCTGTGAACACTTGCTCCTTGGCTGTTAGCTGGTCCCCCAAGATTTCATCCACCTGCGAGAGGGGTCCAATGAATGACAGGTGGCTGTGCCATGGGAAATCACTCACCCCTGTCCTTGCCACATGGGAGGTGACATCACCCCATAGAATCCCAACTCATAGCTGATCCTCCAATGGGTTTCAGAGGCTTCAGATCACACAGGACTTGCTCATCTTTCTCCCATGGAACAGTTGGTGGACTCAAACCACGTGCCTTTGGGTTGGCCGCACAACTCCTTCCGTCTAGGCTACCACAGGCTCCCTCTGGTAACTTTACAGTCCTGTGAGTAGAACTTTCCCATGGGATTTCCAAAGCTGTGGTCTTTAGAGAGGAGCCTGCCTCATTTTTGTCCCATGGAACAACTAGATAGTGAGTTCAAACTAGTGACCTTTCAGTTAGCAGCCAAGTATGTAACCAGTGCACCACCAGAATCTTTGCAGATGTAATTAGTTACCACAAGGCCATATTAGAGGAAGATGTGACCTAATCCAATGGGGCTGATGTCCTTGTAAAAAGAGAAGACGCAGATACAAAGAGACGTGCCAAAGGAAGACAGACATGGGGAGCAGTAGGAAGCGAGGGGTTGATGCAGCTAAGAGCCAAGGACACGGAGGATGCCCTCAACCATGAGAGGCTAGGAGAGACGGGGAGCTCCTTCCGGGGACCACTCGGGGGGGAGCAGGGTTTGGCTGACACTGTTGGATTTCTAGCCTCCAGAGCCCTGAGAAGTTAAGTGTGGCTTTGTCAGGTCAGTTGTGGTGGTTTCGTAGGGGAGCCGGACACAAGTCTGCAGAGTACTTGTTACAAACCTTGTGAATCAGTTCAAGTAAAGAGCTCCAGTGAATACCAGGAAATCTGTAATTACTAGTGACGATTTATTACCATCCTACACTCCCACCCTACAGGTAACTGAGAAAGAACCCCACGAAGAACCTTCTAGCCCACAAAAAATCCCTAGCCCTGAATCTTGACGCTGTCATTTCTTCCTCCAGGCTCTTGTCTTCTTTGTGTTTGTGTGCCAGCCAAGGAGGTCTGGGGCTACAACAGCTGCCATGGGCTGAAATGAGCTTCCCATCCTTCTGTGTGTCCTATAGGATGACAGAAGGAGCATTGATGCCTTTGAGCTGTGATGCTGGAGAAAAGTACTGACTATCCCATGGCTGTCAAGAGAAAATGCAGGGCCTGGAGACATACGGCCAGAGGGCTCCTTGGAGGCAAGCATGACAGAGCTACACTGACACACACTTCAGGCATGTTGCTAGGGGAGGCTATTCCTGGGAGAGGGACATCATGCTTGGGAAGGTGGAGGATGGCAAAAGAGAAGAAGACCCCAAGCCAGGTGGGCTAACACAGTGCACTTGATAACATTACAATGGGCTCAAGTGTGTCAGGAAGTGTGAGGCTGGCACACGACAGGACTCGGTTCAGATCTGTTGTTCATAGGGTCAGTATGAGTTGCACCTGACTCGATGGCACTGAACAACAACAACAGCCCACACACGGTGTAATGTGGTAGTTTTGCAGTGATGTTCCCCCTCCCTTGTCCCCTATGATCTGATGAACCACACAGTCTCAAGAGGATGAAGGGTGGAATTACAGCACCCTTAGGCCCTTCACAGCCCTGATCTGACGTCAAGTTCTTTGTTGGAGTTCGTGGCCTGTGACAACCTTGGGGAGGTAAAAGGGTTGAGGAATCAAACTGAGAGGGGATGTAAGTATCACCAGGACGGACGGGCGGAGCACATCCTTTAGACCTGGTCGCTGTTTTGGGATGCTCCTTTTGTGACAAAGGCAAAGACAAGACATACAGAGCTCTCCCAGGGACACCAGACCCACAGACACGGAGGGAAACAAGGACTTTAACAGAACCGAGAAGAAGATAAACCCTTGCCCAGAGCCAGGAGCCTGCGTTTGAACTTCTAGCCTTCTAAACTACAAGAGAGTTAATTTCCTTTTTTTAATGCCTTTTACTTGTGGTATCCGCATTGTGGCAACACTTGACAGCTAAGGCAGTGCTTAAAACGCTTGATTCCTAAACTCAAGATCACTGGTACACACCCACCAGCCCCTGGAGGGAGAGAGCTGAATGAGAGTGACTCTGTAAATGTGCACAGTCTTGGAAACCCGGTGGGGCAGGTCTATTCCTTCCTGCAGGGTCACTGTGTGTTGTGATCAAAGCACTAGCAGTGGCTTTGTTTACAGATCAGTTGTTGGTAATCCAGGCACAGCGACCCAGAGAAGCCCGGGTGGACACGGAAATGGGGTTTGGCCAGTAGATGAGTGTGCAGATGGGCACTGCGCACTTTACAGGTATCCTGAGGGTGAGGGTTCAATTCCTGTCTTGAAGTGTATCTAAGGAGTGTAGTCTGCAATACTGGCTTTTGTCATTTCCAGGATGAACATGTTCACTCTACGTTGCACTTGAACCAAGCCAAGGTCATTTCAATTGCTTCCTCATCATCTGAAAATTGAATGATAAATAGGAAGAATCAATGCCTTTGACCTGTGGTATTGAGAAGAGCACTGAATATCCCACGGACCACCAAGAGAACAGACAAATCTGTCTGGAAGGAAGTGCAAACAGGAGGCTTCTTAGAGACAAGAATGGTGAAACTTCGTCTCACGTCCTTTGGCTGTTATCAGGAGGGGCCAGTTCTTGAAACAAAGACGTCATCCCGGGAAAGGCGGAAGGTCGGAGGAAGACCCTCACCAGGCTGGAGGGACACGGTGCCTGCACCAACGAGCGCAGGGTGTTAGCCATCCTGAGGACAATGCAGACAGTGCAAGGCTCATGTCTGTTGTTCACCGGGTCCTTATGTGGCGTAGTCGGCTTGCTGGTGTCTAACAACAAAAAACCAAACCCTCCACCAGCACCTGCTGCTTCTAAGTCATCGCATCTCTGTCGGCCAAGAAGAAACCCCCAGAGGTTTGGAAGGCTGTTGATCCTCACAGAAGCTGATGGCTTCATCTTCCTCCTGAAGAATGGGTTGTGGACTAGATCTACTGACCTTGTGGTGAGTACTCCATGGCTGTACCCACTGTGTAAGCAGGGTTCTTTCACAATTACTTGCAATGCGTCAGAGAGCTGGACAATGACTAAGGATGAGGTGCTGGAGAAGAGTCTTGAACATACCATGGACTGCCAAGAGAATGAACAGGTCTGTCTTGGAGAGGGTGAAACCATGTTTCTCCTTGGAGGCTAAGATTTTGAAGCTCAGTCTTACATAATTTGGGCATGTGGTCAGGAGGGACAGACCTTGGAGAAGGACATCATAGAAGGATGGATGGACGCACAGGAGAGAAAGACTCCAGATGAGATGGATTGACACAGTGACTGGGGCTATGGGGGTAGGTGGGTTGGAGTCAGTGACACTGGCTCAGAAGAGGGCAGGCTTCAGAGCTGTCAACCTAGGGTCACTATGAATCGCAGGCGACTCGGCAGCACATAACAACAACAGCACCAATCCCACTGCTGTTGGGTTGATGTCAACTCACTGCTCTCCTAAAGGACACAGCATTGCTGCATCCTAGGTTTCCACGGCTGCACAGAACAATAACAACAACAATAACAACAATTCTTTATGGAAGCAGATTGTCTTATCTTTCTCCCACAGCACAGCTGGTGGGTTCGAACCGTTAACCTTGAAGTTAGCAGCCTAACTCTTAACTCATGGCACCAATCAGCACTTCTCACACACAACAAACTAAAATGTAAATCCGAAAAGAAAAAAAAATAAAAAAAAAATATAAATCCGCTGCTGTCGAGTGGATTCTGGTTCACGCCTGGCAGGACAGAGTAGAACTGCTCTTAAGGCTGCAAATCTTTAAGAAGCACCCTGACGGGCCGTGGAGGCAGAGACAACGTGGTGAACTGCGGAAGCAGGGGACCACTTGGAGCAGGGCCACTATGGCCTTCTACAGACCTCTGTTTATTGATAATTGAACAGTTAAACAGTTGATGACTGGTCTTCAGTGAACATCGAAGCTCAACAACAGGAATGCAAGGATTTCCAAGGAGGAATGGGTTTGCTCCCTTTCCTATAGGTAACCTTAACATTGAGTTTTACTCCAGACTTGACCCTGAACCCAGTGCCAGTGACAAAAAGGAAATACAACTGCCAGCTAAGGAAGCAAAGGAGGATGGAGCCTCTGGGTTCAATCAGCCATCCCCACTGGACCCACCTGGGAAAACACTTTGCAGTCCAGAGGGGAGCAAATGACAGGAAAATATCTTCTAAAAGAACAAGAAGGCAAGCAGCTGTAACCCAAGACCAAGAGTAAGGTGATAAAGTGTCCTCGCTTTCACCCTTCACATCAACGCTCCTGTTCAGCCTGAAGAAGCCAGAGAGTCTGCATCCAGTTCCCAAATCAAAAAGACAGTTGGTTTAAATACCATTGCAAAATGCTTACCATTCCCCTGTGGCATCTGGTCCCCACTGGATCCTTTTCATTTCCTTCACCTGCTCCCCCCTCCAACCAAACTGTGCAGCTCTGCAACCGCATCCCTGCCCATCCTCACCCTTCTGCCCCCAACCCTCACCTCCTTGTACCCCCATTATGTTTTTCCCAATAAAAACAAAAAAGAAGCACACTGACTGAACTATTCCCTGTGGAGTGGCTAGTGGGCTCAAACCACTAAACCTGAGGTTGGGTTCAAACCACTGACCTTGAGGTTAACAGTCAAATGTTTTAACCACTATGTCCCCAAGGCTTCTTCCTAACACACATACAAACACACCCGTCTGTACCTGTCTTCCTCACTAGATATGATGGCCCAAGCCCCAGGCCTGAGGTCTTTGTCCCGTGCAGCCCCATGCACAGGGCTTGGCACACCATGGCCACTTGGTGAATCTTTGTTGAACTGAAACAAAGAGCAGCAAGGAGTCAGCCATCATCTCATTGTACTTCCTGTAGGTCACCTGGCCTTTGCTTCATTCCTGGTGGGTCCAGGAGGCTTGGGCAACAGCATCAGGCACCCCCTCCTCATGCACCTGCCTTACCAAGGAGGGTTAAT